TGTCAATAATTATAAAACTATTATTTCTTTTCTACATAAAAAATAATTAATTAAAGAAAATTGTATAAATCTTGCTCATTGTTTTTATTTTTTATTTTAATGAAGGATTCGGTGGGGTGGACTGCAGATTAAACGATCGAAACGTGAAAGGTTGTATAAGTTATGAGTGTATGATGGGGTCGTCGCTGTTGAGGGGGTTTTGCAGGAAACCTCGGGGCCTGCATAAAACATATGTTTTGCACTCTTGCATAAATCACGGTCTGCGTTGTGCGTTTTCGCATGGCATAAATCCTCGCAGAAAATGTTCCATTAAATGTTTACACACCGGGATTCATGTACTCGCAGACGTACAGAGAACACCCACATTCACCCTTCCTCCATACACACACATCGCATTATTCTACCTAGATAAACGCGAAATATTATATGCAGTTTGTGCAAACAACTCATTTATTAAAATCATTATTTATTGCCAGTTTCTCTCCAACACTTTAACAAAGTTTATCTATAAACCCTTCGAATGCGGTTTCCACCGAAACGCGGTTCCAAACTGTATTCACTTACGGAAGTTATACAGTAATTATATAAGCTTTTGTAAATGCTATATGTTAAAGAAAATCTAACAAAAGTTACAACGAAAATAATCAGTTTTTGAATTGATTATTTCTTAAATCAACTACATTATTACATAAAGTTTGGAATTTTGTAGTCAATAGCCAATTTGAATAAAAACTTCATAATTCGTCATTTTTTGATATTTCACAAAAAAAATTTACCAATTTTTTTTTAAATTCCAACATAAACTTCATAATAATTATTGATTATCAATTAATAATTAATTAAGTTAAAAACTTTATGGTCAATAGACATTTGTATTATAAACTATATAATTAAACGTAAATTAGTTAAAATATAATAATAATTCAATAATTTTCAGATTATAAAAGTTAAGCAACGATGAGGACAATATTTGAATTGGTGATCTTTTTTCCAAACTTGTCTTAAAAACAATCATTTTATGTAGATTTTTAGATACAATTTGCTAATTAAAACCAACAACTATTGATTTTTTCTTAAGTTTACAAAAATTAACATTAAATAAACAATTTTTATTTATTTTACAATTTTCTGTTGAAACTGTTTTGTTTTTGTTGAATTTCCAGTTCGTGTTTGAGTTTGACATCGTTTAACACGAAATTGACCGCATCAATTTATCTTAAGCTGTCCTAAACTTAAGGGCCTTATCGAACCGCACACAGTTTAGTTAATGTTTTAGGCCCTTCGACCTAATCATCATCGTCAAATTGTCAGTTTTAGTAAATTCGAAACTAATATTTAGTTTAATTATAATATATACATATAGTTCGCATTACCTCATAACAATTTCAAAACTAAATCTTTGCAAAATTGTTTTATTTGTATAAAATTATTGACTTCAGATTTATAAATAAGAAAAGTCGTTATTAAAAGTAAATTATTTTGTCAAAATATTATTAGAATTAATCGTTGAAAGTCTACAAGAATTTTAATTATAATTGTGATGTAAATTTATTAAATTGAATCAAAAATTCGTTTCGTCATCCGATTTAAGCTGTATCATTAATTTAGATTTGGAAGTCATTCATCATTTTATTTGCATTTCAATGAAATTACTAAAGATTTTAGCAAATCATCATTTAAAGTGTAAAAAAAGTAATTTCTTTAATTTGTTAGATTTTCATTAAGAAAACACAAGATCAAATGTTCTTTGGTTTATATATATAAAAAAAAATATGTTTTGAAGATCCAAGTGTGTTTTCTCATGTTGTTATTAAAATATTTTGACATTTGGGTGTCAGTTCGAGTAGGTCAAATCGGGTCGTGAAGTGAATGTGTTATTTATTAGAAACAGAGCTTAGAAAGTGCGAATTATTTGTGATTATGGATAAGTTTATATCTTTTTTATATTTTATATGAATTCAACAAGAACTTTGATACAATTTGATGATTATGAAATCATGTTAAGGTGAAATTACTGAATTTATCTCATCTCTTTACTGACCATTAATCATAAAATGTTATCAAAGATAGAACAAAGTATAACTAAATGTGATTATAACTTATTTCATAAACTTTAACTTTTAACTTTTTTGTTTTAATTTTCAGTGATTGGTATTAATTATGGATTTGTCTTCATTGCTATGACAACGAATCAACAAACGTTCAACAATACTCCAACAAATTATGAGACAATATCAACTATTAAATTGTGAAATTGCATCAAATCCATGAATATTCTCTTCACATTTGATTATCCTAACGTTTTAATGAAAGTTGCGTAAGTAAATCATTTTCTACTTCAATCTAAAAAGTTAGTAACTTTAGTTTATATTTAGTCACAATATACTAAAACAAAATCTTAGTGATGTAACTAGATATTTTGTATAAAAATTTATATTGGTAGCATTGCCAGCACAGCATTCCTTCTTTTTGTAGAAAAAATGTCTTCTAAAAAAGAAACAAGTATATTTATGCAACATTATACAATAAACCATTAACTCAAAGATTTATTTTTATCATATTCTTGTATTCATTTAAAACCTCTAAATATATCAACAGTTTTGATGAATTCGGTATAAAAGATATAAAGGGTGTCCCAAAATTCACGCAAGAAGTAATTTTAATGGAAAATTCAGGTTTTTAACTGCAAATTGTATATTTTTTTATTGATTCATAAAGTATACAGTATAAGGTTATTTATTATATAGTACAGGGGTTCCCAAACTGTGCGCCGCGAAAATTCTGATATATTAACAAAAATTTCGACCTGAGATAGACCAATGTTTCGACATAAGACACCTCGGAAAAATTCTGATATACTCAGGGTGCTGCAAACCGAAAAAAATTGAGAACCCCTGCTATAGCATATTAGGTAAATAGTGGTAAATAGTTTACACGGCTTTCTTGGTATGGACGCATTCTTCGAAATTATCCATGACTACATGTTATTCAATTATCTAATTGATCCAGTCTCCCTGATTTTTTTAATTAATATCTATTTCGACCATACTTTTTATGAAAATTTCAAACTTCTGCCAAACTTTCATTATTTTCAAAATATTGCATAATACATAACCTTACATTGTATACGTTATGAATCAATAAAAACAAAATTACTTCTTGATTTAATTTTGGGACACCCTATATTTTGTCCATTTCCTATAGAGTCAAAGACACAATATTGAAACTTATTTTTTTTTGAAAATCTTAAGAGCAAGATGAAGAAGCAAGTTTCATTTTTTTTTGATACCAAAGTTCCAAAGACTACAAAAAAAAGAATGAATTAACTAAGATGAAAATTACTAATTTCCCAAGATTCAAAATAACAAATGCATCTTTCTATTGATAACTTATTAGCAATATGAAGATTACTACGTTTCTAAGATTTCCTATTTATATTTGATATAACTAATTCAAGTTCCCAAGTTTAGAAAATAAGAATGAATATAACATCTTATTGTTGTTAAGATATTAACAGCTTGATGACAATTACTAAGTACCAAGGACATCATATTTTTTTGTAATATAAACTGTTCAAGTTCCCAAGATTTCGAAAAAGAAATGAATCTTACTGTTGTTAACTTATATCATAAACTAGATTATATTATTTTTGATATGACCAGTTCAAGTTTAAATAGAATGAATGTAATATCTCAATGTTAGCTATTTCCTATTACCTTTTTGTCTAATCAAATATAAAATGAAACTTGCTGTGATAGATGTAGATTACTAAATTGCTTGGACTACTAAAAATATGATGGTATTATGCTAGAATGTGATCTTAAATTTTGATATCTTATCGTATTTCATCTGGTATGAGCAAATGGATGCAACTGTTAAAGTGTAAAAAACATAAATTAATTTCTTTAATATTTTGAATTTGTTAAATTATCAGTAAAAAAAAAAACAAGATCAAATGTTCTTTGGTTTATTTATATAAAAATAAGTATGTTTCTGCAGTTTGGTGGGATCTGTCTAATCTGCATATTGGTCTGTTAATAACGTATAATTTAGTGGTTGGACACAACATCTATTTGATATGACCAATTCAAGTTCCCAAGTCTACAGAATAAGAATGAATATAGCATTAACAGTTTGATGATAATTACTAAGTTCCAAGGACATTATATTACTTTGTAATGTAAACTGTTCAAGTTCCCAAGACTTCAAAACAGAAATAAATCTTACTGTTGTTAACTTATGATAAAATAGATTATATTTTTTTGATATGACTAGTTCAAGTTCAAATAGAATGAATGTAATATCTCAATGTTAACTATTTCCTATTACCTTTTTGTATAATCAAATATAAAATGAATTATGATGTTGTTAAGTCATGATGTGATAGATGTAGACAACTAAATTGCTAGGACTACTAAAAATATGATGGTATTATGCTAGAATGTGATCTTAAATTTTGATATCTTATCGTATTTCATCTGGTATGAGCAAGTGGATGCAACTGGTCCTGCGGCGCACAGTCAAAGGGAATAATTGATGGAGAGCGTTAATCCTTAATTAGGAGAGGCGATCGCCGCGGCGTCGGTGCATTCGGTGTATGCGTACGGATCGGTGGATGCTGGTGGGTGCGTGCGTGCTAGTAAGGGGGCGTACGATCATCGGTTGATGCGTGCGGTATGCGTAAGGAGAGGCGTCGCGACGCATGCCCGGCGCCGGGAGCGGCCGTCGCGTCGGTTCGCACAGTGTGCGGTCGAGCAGCACGGCGTGAACATGCCCTGCGAGCCCCGTCGAGACGCCACCAGCGACGCGGAGGACGACGACGAGACGCCGGCCTTCTGCACATGGGCCACATCCTAGTGGCACGTTCTCATACCTAACAAAAAAAAAACAAACAACAATAATATAATAATAATAAAATTAAAAAAACACCATACAAACAACAATTAATCACCAAACAATAAAATTGTAAAACAAGGAAGAAGAAACACAACCACCGCCGCCGCCGCCAAAAAAACGCAACAGCAACAACAAGAATTTAAACAACAACAACAAAAAAACCGAAACACGATGATCAGAAAGTAATATTATCAGTTTAAAAATTTAAATTAGCTAGTGTTACCAACAAAATTAATCGTAATAAACTTAGTATATGAAGTACGGAGGAATCTGAGTTTTCCTTGGTAAAGAGAGAGGGAGGAGTAAAATAAGTAAATTAAAAAAAAAAGGTTTTAATTTCCGGTCAGTTTTGAGTTTCGAGTTTTCGCGTCGCCGATATACGGGCCGATTCGGGTTAAACGGGTACTGTAAATAGGATGTAGTTGTAACATAACCACAAGAGGAAGAAGCCACCTAGTGCGACTTAGGGACCAACGACTATAATAAAAAAAATAAATTTAATCAAATAAAGAAATAGTTGAGGATTTAAATAAAAAAAAAACGGGAAAGTTTTAGTGTTGTCGTCTGTACATAGTTTGTTTCCATTCTTTCAGTTCGCGTTTGTGAGATGGCTTTGGTGAATGTGACGGCTAGAGCCTCGCTGGCGGTGGAGGAGATGCTGCTTCTCGTCGGGGACAACGGTACCCTGGGTAACGGTTCGCTGAACGGAACCGTCGCGGTGCACCACTATCCCAGTGGATACACTCTGCCGCAGATCGTGGTCGCATCCATCGTGGTGACTATTCTGATGATCGTCGTCGTCGTCGGTAATATGCTGGTGATCATCGCGATCACCACGGAGAAGGCGCTGAAGAATATCCAGAATTGGTTCATAGCCTCGTTGGCTGTTGCGGATTTCTTTCTGGGATTGATAATCATGCCGTTCTCGTTGGCCAACGAGTTGATGGGTTATTGGATCTTCGGCGCTTGGTGGTGCGATATCCATTCTGCTATGGACGTTCTGTTGAGTACTGCCAGTATCATGAACTTGTGCTTGATCTCCTTGGATCGGTATTGGAGCATCACGCAGGCTGTGGAGTATCTGAAGAAGAGGACCCCGGTGCGGGCCGTCGTGATGATCACCGCCGTTTGGCTGCTGTCTGCTCTCATCTGCATACCGCCCTTATTGGGTTGGAAGGTCGATCAGCAACCTCAGGAGCAATATCCCAAATGCCAGGTGAGTCTTACAAACATCTTCATTAATAATTTACTAGAAATTACTTCTATACCTAAGTTAACACATTGCAAGAAAAAAAGAACTTCTAATGTATCTATAAACTTTAGTTTTAATTCGTGTGAAGTATTGCGAAGTATTTTTGTCAAATTTACTATAAAATCCAAAAATTAACAAATTACAAAAAAAAATCTCTTTGAATATATCCAAAAGTTAACAAATTAGAAACTTTAATTTATAAAACACTATAAAAATACATTAAAAATTGATATTTTACTAAATTCTATCTAAAAGTTACAAATGAAAAAATAAGCAACTTTGCTTTTAATTTGCGTCAGTTATGAAAATAGAATTATTTATAATCCAGTTTAAAAAAAAATGTTGTGTATTAGAATTTTCGACAAATCTACAAATCACTACAAATTACTACTATACTTTTATCAAATTCTTAAATTTTTTTGTAGAAAATACATCTGTCCTTAGGTTAACACATTACAAATAACAAAAGTCGACTTTTATGATCTAATTCGTATTATAATAAATACTTATAAAGTTGAACTTTTAACAAATTTTCGTAAAGTTACTAGAAAATCCTTAGTTTTAGCTAAAAGTTTACATATTCAAGTGAAAAAAATAAAACGTTTTTTCTAATTTGTGACTGTTATAACGAAATATCAGTAATATATACAAAAATTTATTGATAATAAAAAAATATTTGTATTCAAAAGTTAACACATTAGAAATGATGTTCACAATTAATACATCCAAAAATGATCTTTTATTAAAACTTGACATTACAAATAAAAAAAAAACAACTTTACTTTTAATTTGTATCAAAAATTGATAGAAAAAACTAATACACGTAGTTTTTTCTATTTACTTTTCACTGTTTGTAGTGAATTGACTTAAGGAATTTTTCAATGTAGAATTCTCCTTGCTATAAGAAAATATCATAATTTTATAGAAACACTTTTCTTCTATAATGCATCGATTTCTTATTATAAATATAAAAAAAAGATACTACAAATTATTACAATACAAAAGTTAATAAACTTTTACCAAATTTTGTAGAAAATACATTATTCATACGTTAAAACATTACAAATAACAAAAACTAACTTAAATTCTCATTTGTACAAAGTAAGTACTTTATAAAATTCTCGTAAAATTTACTACAAAATACCAAAATGAACACTTTGCAAATTAAAATTTCTACTTGTAATTTGTGACAGTTATCAAGTTATCACATTACTAATCACCTGTATTTCCAATTAGTAAATACACTATAAATACATAAAAAAATGATATTTTGCTAATAAATGAAAAAATAAACAACTTTAAGAATTTAGTTATAAATGTGTTACATAATAGTGCAACCACCAACAGATTTACAAACAAATCAATCTATTTTTAGTATTTTCCAATTACTTTTGTAAATAATTGTCTTAAGGAATATTTCAATGTAGAATTATGTCGTTAGTATAAGAAAATATCATATTTTTTTATAGATTGAGTCGATTTATTTTTTACAAATTTTTTTTTAGAAACTTTTGCAATTCCCTCAAAGTTTCTACGATGAAAGTAGAAGTTTTCAAAAAAAAAAAAATCTTTTTGATATTTGTTTGTGTTTGAATGCTTCGTCAGAGGGGCTTTGTGTGTGTGTGTGTACGAGTAAGAACGAATGTGTGGAAGTTTCAGTTGCAATATCTTTCTCTGCTCTCTCCTCTCAACTTTCCCATTGCTCTTCCATTTCAAAGGGGTTTTCATTTCGAGGGTTATTCCATATAGATGTGTATGTGTGTGAGTGTTCTTCAAGAGGATCATTTACATCAGTTGCGTAGAGACAAACCAGTTCCAATTTGTTTGCAAACAATAACGATCGGATTCTATGAACACTTTATTTACATAGAAATTCTTTGAATCTTTCACAACAGAAGACAAAAATATATACAATGCAAGTGTTTTATTATATTATTGATTTCAACATTAGTAAAAAGATTACTTTTTACATATAAATAAATAGGAAAAAGTAATCAAATTGCGCAGCAAAATTTAAAAAAAACCTATTATGTTTTTAGTTTAATTACATAATTGCTTTTAACTTGTATAATCCATTATATTCTACATATAAATACGTTTAGGTGTAATTATTTTGCATTAGCTTAAGTATTATATTTAAACTGAAATAATAATTATGTAGTGACAATTCAACGGTACAAAAATAAACTATTATGTTTTTTTTTGTTTTTAATGCAAATTGAAAACAAAACACACCTGTTTCACTTCACATTCGCATCTATTAACGAGCCATTAGCATATTTAGTAAAAACAATAAATTACGTAATTTCTGCTACGTTATTATTGACCCGTTCGATTAACGCTACTTTGCGTACAATACAATATTACATCATGGTCAAAAAAGTTATTACATTTGTGAATTATTATCAATTAGCAATAGTTTCAAGTATATTCATTTTATTTTTTTTACAATTTTTCCTTTTAATTAATTAATTACAAAATACTATAAACTTTTTTTTTGCTAAAGTTCATGTATTGATAATAGATGGTGTAAAATTATTATGTAATGGATTAAGTTAATTGAAATTAGAAATAATTATCATTAAATATTTAATGAAAGATTAGTCTTCCATGCAATTTTGTATAATGATAGGACAGGGCGGATATATCCGCCGTAATTTACATGTTTGTTATATATTAAACTATATACTATATAATTAACATATTATATATCAGAGATGGCCAGACCTTTGGCAGCTCCTAAACTTTCTGGTATATATTTTTTTTTAATATAAGGATAATTTTATCGGATTTTTTTTTCATAAATTAATACTTAAATCAATTTAATTAAATAATTTGAAATTAGAAATTATCATTATGTATTTAATGAAAGATTAGTCTTCCATGCAATTTTGTATAATGATAGGACAGGGCGGATATATCCGCCGTAATTTACATGTTTGTTATATATTGAACTACATAATTAACATATTATATATCAGGGGTGGCCAGACTTTTTGCAGCTCCTAAACTTTCTGGTATATTTTTTTTAATATAAGGATAATTCTTATTTTTTTTTCATAAATTAATACTTAAATCAATTTAATTATATAATTTAAAAAAAAAGACTTCAATTTTTTGCAGTGTGGATGCAACTTTATTAGAAATAAATGTTTTTTTTTTCAATACTCTTAGAAATGTTACTATTACTATTATTTTACATGTGTTTTTTTCTATATGAAAATTATTCAAAATTACATAGAAAAATATCACAAAAAAGCGTAAAATACAAAAGGTTATGAATTATCAATTATGTAAATGGAATTGATAATTATAATATTAATTTGTAGATGATTAATTAATTTAATAATAATTTTGCAATATTTATAGAAATTTCATTTTATTGTTTATTTTAAATAACAATGAATTATTTGCATACATGAATGCACATTTCCAATTAAATTTCATAGTCTAAATTAATAATATTAGAAGTTAATTACTTATTATATAAGTAATGTTTAAATATTTAAAATATCTTTGAAACAATTTCTTATTATTACGTTATTGTAGTATTGTTGTAGTATTGAAGTTTCAAAATAATCTTATAATTTAAATACAGTGGAACCTCGCTTAACGAGCGACGTTTCGCATAACGAGTGACGATGAGAAGAGAATTCCCGGATTTCGCGTCTTCTACATGATTTTTAAAACATGTGTACACATATTACGTGTATTTTTGAATATGTTTCACTATACGTGTAAAACTCAGGAAATTTTGGAACGGATTAAACTCGTTTAGCGAAGTTCCAATGTATTGCTTACTTATGATTAAAGTAATTATAAAATAGTTGAATTTAATGGATTGTGGTCCAATTACGTGCAGCATTTAATAACTCTTGAATGAATCACCCATTTTTATGTATGTTGTCTCCTTTTCCCCCTTTAGGCACTCAAGTAAAAGAGGATGCTCAGAGCCGTGTATCAAATGGGCTAAATTAAGTGTACGTAATCTATTTATCATCCGTCAAAAGACGGGAGAAAACCTTAATTGGTCTTCTCCACCATTTCCAGTCACGTAACGGTGTATTTCGAACAATTCTCGCTCAATATTCATGTAATGCAAGTAAACTTGCATACAGCAAGTTTTCAACATGAATCGAGTGTGAGACAGAGAGAGAGAGAGACATGTTTATTAAATGCACGGAATTCGTATCAGGTCTTCCTTTGAGGAAATCACTCAAGTTCTCTCCCAACTCGCTCAGTTCAGCAAAGCACAAACAGTGGCGAAAACACAAGGCGAAACAAATATGTTTGGGATATAAATGTCGGATAGTTTTGAGTGCACGTCTGTTTTTGTTATTTACTTCTAAAATCGGACGTTTTTCTGCTCATCTGTGACGGATTCCTCTGGCACAATGTTCAACTAAGTTTTCTTGTTGTTGTTGTTTGTTTGTTTTTTTTTCTCTTCGTTTTCCAATCTTCTTCGTTGCAGATTTTATGCTCGGTGGGATCAAATATTGATCAATCCAATAACCTTTTTTTTATGATACTTCAACGACTCTTTTCTTCTTCTTTGGTCCTCGAAACCATCAAAAGATAAACTTTGCCTCTTGATTTGTTTATAAACGAGGACTAATAAAAATCCATGCTTTCGAAATATGTTTCAATATTTTATTTACTTTCATTAAATTGCTTAACTATTACTAAATCTTTTCTTATTCATATATTTATATGTGTATAAACTATACAACAAAAACGTTTTATTGTTAATTGGGATTTTATAAGAGAAAAGTTCATGTTTTGATAATAGATGGCGTAACAATATAATTAATTATTTTGTAATGGATTATGTTAGTTGAAATTAGAAATAATTAGGGTTAATATTTAATGAAAGATTAGTCTTCCATGCAATTTTGTATAATGATAGAGCAGGGCGGATATATCCGCCGTAAATTACATGTTTCTTATATATTGAACGGTATCAA